TTCATGGGAGATGGAAACGCTTTTATTAGAATTTCCTGACTGAAAACAATTCCTGAAGTCTTCTCTACATTTTTTTTTTTTTTGTTTCTTCTTCCTGTTTTGGTTTCTTCTTCTATGGTTATTGCAGCCTACAGCGCCACCTTCTGATGACACTACGAAGCCTGATCCAAACTCGTGGATAGAAACTGACTTTTTCTTCAACTGTTTTCGTAAAATTTTTACAGCGAACACTGGAACTCAGCTCACGGGGGCACGTAGCTAACCAACGAACTAAACTCCTCCCACCTTCAATCTTTTTTAAAACTAAAACCTGGTGAATTTAAAGAGGTTAAACAGCCACGATGGATCTTCCAGAGAATTAATTATAGCACCGTTTTGTCAAACTCTTCTCAGTTTGCCAGCCTGCAACCAGTGTGCTCGATTCTTTCCTCTTTCGACATTCAGACAGTAAAAATCCACGACTCCCCTCCCCTCCCCCGGAAACAAAAAAAAAAAAAAAAAAGCAAGTACATTCAATCATTCATCAGAAAAATATTCAATTAAAACTATACACTTGCAAAAATAAAACTCTCTTGGAAGCTTTCTAAGGCTGTGCGTCCACCGGGAGGCGCTCTCTGCCGAGAAGGCGGCGGAGAGCTTTTAGTGATGCTGAACGCTACGAGTTTAAAGACTTCAAGCAAAGAAAAAAAAAGAAGCGATTTTTTTTTTTGTTGTTGTTTTGTTTTTTTCTAAATCGACTCACACCAGCAGCCGGAAGATTTGCGGGAAAACCTCCGACTGAAGTGGACGGAGTTGAGAACCCCCTCCCTCCCCCGTTGTTGTTGTTGTTTGCATGTTGAGGCCAGCCCTGGTATGCATTTGTAAATACAGTATTTCAGATATATGTAGTCTTATCATCTTTAAATCTGACCAGGACACTACAGCGGCAGAAGCAATACATAAAGAAGCTCATATTTTGTTTTTACTATTATTCTTTTTTTGTCGGAATGGAACTAGTTTCAACTAAGCCTACCAAGCCAACATGTAGTTATGTATCGAATAAAAGGCTATTTATCTTTTTTTGTTTTGTTTTTGTTTATTACAGGTGTGTATGATGGTGTGCAGGACGACAAAGATAGATAGGTAGAGAGAGAAAAAACAATCAACGTAGAAAGAAGAAGTGGGGAAAAAAGGTGGAAGGATAGAGAGAGAGGCAAAGGAAGAGTGGAAAGTAAGAGGAAGTGACAGAGCGAGGAAGAGAAACAGAGAAAGAAGAGAGAGAGAGAGAATAAAGTATGATTCAGGCAGCATGATTCTGGATTGTGGGTTTTTTTTTTCTTTCACTGTCGAGTTTGTGTGTTTTTGCGTGATCGTTACCGTTGAATCCTTCTGCGTTTGCCACCACTTTGACAGTTTTCTTTTTTCATTTTTTGTTGCTGTTGTTGTTGTTGTTGTTGTTGTTTGTTCCTCATCGGTTTTTAAACAAAGATCCACGACAGTCACTTGGTCATACAAGCATGTTCGTCGGAACAAGAAGTGCAGATTGGC